AAAAAGTCAAAATCTTTCGAAATAAAAAAATCCTGACTTGAATAGGTAAAGACAGCCTAATTTCTAAATTTTCCGCTTTGTTTTAATGAAAAATTGCAAATTAAGCAAATTTCTGGATTAAAAACTATGTAAATTACTCGAAACGGTTAATAATAATGTAATTTATGGCTTAGGTAGTAATTTTTTTGGATTTTTTTTGAGAAAAAATAGTGAAATAAGTAAATTTCTAGCATAAAAATAAGTTAAGTCGCTGGAAACAGGCTAAAAACGTAAATTTTGACCGAATTAGTTACCTTTTTAGTCATTTTTGATTTTAAAATTTAAAAAACAAAAACAACATAATTTTCGATCTAAATCAGTTACTTATTTGGCTTGTTTTGACTAATACATCTCCTAAAATAACATGGAATATGGTACAAAAACGAGCTAAATCTATCAAAATATGTCAAAAAACACAAATTTTGTCGTAATTTGATGATTTTTTGAATAATTTTGACCAATACTCTCAAAATATATACAAAAAAAGGTAAGCAGAAAGTATAGAACCCAACGTTTTTTACTTAAACTATTAATTTTAAAATTTTTTTTTTGTGTTACACTTCTGCAAAATAGTTAATTTTTCGAATTGACAACCCATATAATTTTTTTACAAAAACTGTTATCTAAGGGTACAACTAGCTACATTTTATTCAATTTTTATCGATAAAAAATTTCATTTAAGTTGAAAAAAAAATCGCAAAACTCAAAAATAAAACTTTTTTTTTACTTTTCTGACGACGAATGATTGAAAAAAACGCTTAGTTTCTTACTTTTGGAGTGTAAATAAGTCTCTTCAGCCAAGATTTTTGTTGTTTTTTCTGTTACAAGCATCACGTTGTGTTTAAAACAGATTCTTTCTTCTATCAAAATGATAATAATGAAATTTTCAGTCATATTTTGACATTTTGGTGTTCTATAATAGTAAAATTTTTAATATAAATTATAAAAAACTTATTTTCTCGTTTTTGAGACATTTTTTGTATGTAATTTGTCGTAATAAGCCGGAAAATCACCGAATTATGGCTTTCTTGAAGCGATTTTGCTTTTATAAAAAAAATTATTTCCTAAAATTTTGTCAAAATAAGTCCAAAAATCTTTGAGTTATATCGAAATTGGCTTATTTGAAACGACTTAGCTCATTTTTAAATAAAAAAGTTTCTATCATTACAGTTTCAAAATGCTCAAAAAACAGTAAAAAAATCTGTTTTTGGGTCAGGGACTTACTTATTTTCCAAAATTTTATTAAAATTAGCTAAAAAACTACCAAATTAGATCTAAATTGACGTTATTTGGTTCTTTTCATTCAACTATGCTCGTTTTTTTAACCATTTTTTTATATATTTTGTGAGATTTTATTTAAAAAACTGAAAAACACCTAAAATTGACATTATTCTGTCCTGTTTTCTACGATTTTGTAAGAAATTGGGCCAGAAACATGTTTAATTTTGGTTTGGCAAAAATTACCCAATAAAATAAAATCAACTATTTTGATTTTTTCCCATACATTTACATTGTTTTGGAGTCATTTCATTCATTTTCTAAGTTTTTGTTATAGAATTATGCTCAAATTGGCGTTATTTTGGCTATTTCAAGCCATTTGGTCTTACAATTTTTTTTATTTCTTAAAATGTTGTCAAAATAAGTCGAACTTCGTCGGCTTGTTGTTGGCCTGTTTTGAACAGTTTTAATTTAAAAACAAAAAAGCTCTCATTATGAAAGCTTAATTTATAGTTTCAAAATACAGTAAAACAAAATCTAAAAAATGTAATTTTTTATTTCAGTTATATTATCACAGGTTTCATTGATTTTTATATTTTTTTTTACTAAGGCTCTTATCTAAGGGTTACAACCACCTAGGTGCATTTTATTCAATTTTTTTCGATAAAAATTTCATTTAGTTGAAACAAAACAATTTTTTTCACTTTTCTAATGACAAATGATTGAAAAAAACGTTTTGTTTCTTAGTTTTTGTAGTGAAATTGTATTTTTCTTTATTACAAGCACCTTGTGTTTGAATAAAAAGATTTTTTCTTTTATATTTTGACATTTTGGTGTTTTATAACAATGAGATTTTTAATATAAATTAACACGATTTTTTTAACTAAAGATGAAACGCTTCGAGTTGAAGAAAAAACATAATGTGCACCTCATCTACAAAATTGAACATTTTTTTGCAGAAAACATTTAGTTTCTTCTTTTTCGTCCTATGCAGTTTGAGGTTTGTGTGGAGTGTGGTGGTGGTTTCTTCTCTTTTGGTGCATGCTTTTCCATCTTCATCGCACTTTCACATCGGTCATAAAGCCAACTTTTACGGATCGAAAGAAATTTGCGTGTTTGTGTGAACATGTAATGTTGTAGGCACCTGCATCAATGTCACCGGCGCATTTGCAACAATATCATTCAACGTTGAGTCCTGGCGCCCTCTCTGAATCGTTACCTTCCAGTCAGGTTTGTTATTTAATACAGAGTGGTTATAAATGATTTTCATCTAGCCAGCTGTGAATTTTKCATGTAAAATAAAAAAATGCCGCTTTACGAAAATAAGGGTACCTACTTGTTGTAACTCAAAATTAAAAAATCATCCACTTCGAGAATAGACTTCAATGATAAACTTGTTTTCTTTCAATGTATACATTATTGGAAATTAGTTGAAACAATTTATTATTAATTAATAAGTGACACTAATGACAGAACTAGAGCTTTCAAAAAAATAGAGCGGCACAAATAAAGTTATACGCAAAAAAAATCCAAAGCAGGCTAGATGAAAATCATTTATAGCCACTCTGTATGTCCGTCGGTACTCTATAATGGTAAATGTCTTTTATAATTGATCGATTTACCATTGTATTGAACTTGTTTCGTTGGCTTTAACAGACATCACACGCACATTAATCTCTACTCACTAGCTGCATGTCTTTTGTTTTTGAGTAATTGAGGGAATTGAGGTTGTACCAACGTAATTGGTTTTTGTTTGTGATGCAGCTTCAGTTGGCACCATTGTCTTCGGAAATGTCAAGAGAGGAGATGCATATGGGTGATAGTAGTAGTGGAGGAGGTGCCTCACCTTTAACTGCAAGGTCACTTAGACTCGAAAGAGTTGCTCAAGCTCTAGCTCACAGTCAAGAAGAATTGAGAAGGTTTGTATTGTTTTTTTTTTTTTTTTTTCATAATTTTGGAAAATACTAAATTGGTGTGAATTTTTAACACATAGACGGACTGGCGCTAGTGGTTTGCCTCCAGGAGTTACATACAGGTTATTAATGTTGGCTAGATCAACAGTTTGCTTTTTTGATTTAAATTAGAGTGAGAGCTATTGACCACGACATAAGTTGAAAAGAGACAAGTGTAGCGAATTGTATGGCAGAATAGGGATTTAAGGTTATATCCAAAATTTAGGACATTTGACAGTATTATTTTTCAAATAATAATTTTTTATTTTAATAATAAAATCAAAGTAGGCAATTCTTGAAACAAAAATTTTAATTATTTTAATTTTTCTTGTCGAAAAAGCTAAGTCGTGTTCTGATTGGTCGATTTTCAAAGTCGTAATTGATTGGCTAACCATTGAGCAATGACATTGGTCTAATAATCGAAAGAAAAGTTTCAGAATTCAATAATAATTCACGATTTTTTAAATGGGTGGAGTTACTTATCGTTGCTAGGTTTTTGTCGGATTTTGGCCAATAAGAAATAAAAACCGGTTTGTTCTCACGGATTATCATTGGTCCTTTTTCGGACCAATAAATCAACAAATGTGRCCAACCAATCAAATTCATGATTGTGCAAAAACCAGAAAAAAAAATGTTTTAATTCAATTAGCCAATTCTTGAAACAAAAATTTTAATTATTTTAATTTTTCTT